TTTTTCACATTTTGTCTCTCATTGTTGAGGTCTACCTATGATGTCAATTACAGGCCTCTCTCATCTTTTTAAGTGGGAGAACTTGCACAATTGGTGACTGACTAAATACTTATTTTCCCCACTGTAAAGTGGGATACTGGGAACACACAAATCAGTTATTCATTAAATCAAATATACTGAAATTCTGGGACCTGGTAATATTTAAAACTACATAATTCATGTTTAAGATCCGAAATCAAAAACTTCCACACAATATACAGGAAATGTTTGGTGACAGAGAGGGGGATTATAATTTAAGAGGTGAAGGATATTTAAAAAAACAACATATTAGAACAACCAGGAAGAGTTTTTGTTTATCAGTGTGTGGATTAAATGTCTGGAATGGATTGAATRATGAGTTAAAAAAAGATTTTTTCAATTTCAGTTGTCGTTATTTAGTTAGTTTTAGTTAACTGTAATAACCCTGGTGGGAAGAAGGCAGCTGGGTGTGGAGGGTGAAGCTGCACACACACAGTCAGTACATATTGAGTCAGAAATGCGCTCTCGGCATTATCTGAGTCAGACCAAGGGGAGATAAAGGACAAACAGATATGCTTTAGTGCAGCAGCGAAGAAGAGGAAGACAGAAAAAGACAGGATRAGTCTGACTGGACGCAGCAAACAGGCTAAATCAAATGAAGTCACTCGCAGGATGTGTCTTGTTGTGAAAAACAATTTCGTGACTCTAAAAGGCCAGGTTTAATTTGTGCTTCAGAGAAATGGGCAAAGAGAAAATATGACTAAATGTCAGCTATTGTTTCCAAAACAGCAGGAAGTATGAGTAATTAGTGTTTGTGGTGTGACTTACCTCCCCTCGCTGTACTGACTCCCACCCAAGAAGCCGTATTTATCAGTGCGCCTGATGGTGAGACCGTTGATCTCCGAGTCTGAGCCGATAGAGCTCCCATCTTCTCCCAGTCCAGACAGGGACTCCAACGTTCCCGACATCAGGCTGGCTGATTCTAGATAGCTGAGGTTGTCGGGGGCCGGCTTTCGGTTGGGGTTCGGGAAGAGGATGGTGGGCTCRTGGATCAGAGGCACAGTAGGGCTACACTGGCCGGCTCTACTCGGCGTAGGGGGCCGCTCTTCCTTCCTGGCTTGACTCGAGGCGTCAGGCTTTGGGGACAACGGAGCAGGAGGTTCAGGTTGAGGTTTTTGTGCTTGTTGGAGTGGCTGAGGTGTCTCCACATCAGCTGCTGAAGCTGGGGGTGTGGGGTTGGAATCCACACTCGTTTGGTTTAACCGACCATCATCCATGACAGGGTTAGGGCTGACGTCCTGATTAGGACCAGGGTTTAGATCTGGAGATCCTGTTCTCTGAGCTGAGGGTTCATTTCCTGTACTCAAGTGTTCTGCAACAGCTCGGTCACCGGCCTCCGTCTCCAGCTTATTAACTCCAGTCTCTGTTTTAYTCCCTGCTGGTTCCTCTGTTTGAGAAGCAGCTTTCTGTACCATTGGTGGGGGGCAGGTCTGAGACGCAGCTTGTGYGGGACTTCTGGACTGATTGGGAGTCGAGGGCGAACCTCCCGAGAATGCAGCCGGGGTGCTTCCAGTCAAGGCTTTATCGTTGTAAAGGGAAGACTTGGGCACGGGCGACTCTTTGATAGACTCGGAGGTAGGTTTGCTGGAAGCAGGTGGCACTGGTGGAGGTGAAAGAAYGGGCGGAGCTGCATGAGGTTCACCCAGCGGAGGTGGGGATGGAGACAAGGTGAACAGCTCAGCCATTGTTCCACTACGATCTCTGAAAAACAGAGGAATTTTCCTTATCTATAAAGATGGTTTTCATCCAGTTATTACAACCTTATGATGATTTTATGAACGAGCTACGACAATCATATAGGACAGGGGTGTCCAAAGTGTGGCCCCTGACTTCAGTTCAAGAATTACACTAATTTGTTTACAAATTTGTCCCCCTGGCACAGCTGTTTAAAGCAGATGGAGACTTTCTATTTATTATTAGTGCAAATTTATCACAAAGTAAAATCTTACAATAAAAAATATTGGCAACAATACCAATTATTTGTCTTTAAATAACCAGACTCTTAGTTTTTTCCACATCTGTTTAGTGACTTCTACTCAAAAGCTGATTTTGCTGCGCTCTAATC